CTTTGTTTGATTTCAGCGCCGGATAGCCTGCCTGTGGAGATGCAGCAAGAGCCCCCACATCCTTCCTCGGCCGCGATGCTGCCATCATCACCAGGCTGTTCCTCGAATGACGGAGGCATGTGCTCTTCTATCTTGCAATTTTCAACCAAACTTTGTGCTGGACACTGGCTTTACGGTAGCACTTAGAAGTGCATATAGTTTCAGATCAAAATTTTTAGACTGCCAAGGGGTGTACCATATTACGAGGGCTCAGATTTTAAAGTAACGATAAAACATGTAAGCTTTGGCAGTTTCTGGTTTTTCTCAAGTCAGACTTGTTAAAGCAATAAAACTGTTAAAGGGGTCGGGAAATGTTTTTAAAAAATTTGCGCTATGTGCGATATTTTGATTGCCGGTCTTCTATTAGGTAACCAATGCGCATTTGTTTTATCGTCCGGATTAATTTATTAGCGTAAAACGACAATTTCGGTTTCCTGGTCAGCTTCCCTCTGAATTCTACGGCTACGTCACATCAAGACAGCCAATCGGGAAGTTTTCCTTTCTGACGTCGCGCGTAGAAGTCAAAGGCGAACCAGATATGTTTCTCAGATGCAAGATGTCCGATTGGCTTGCCCTCCCCGAGCTTCAGCGTCGATTAATCGAGCGAAGCAGACTTCCCAGCTTTGTGATTTACGCGGACACACCCCTCCGAGGAGTACGAGACCGCTTACCATCCGACGGCGACAGCGAAGACGGGGCGAGCTCTGAGCAGCGAGATTCGCGGTCAATGGCTCGAAGCCAGGCCGCTCTTCGTTGTGGATCGTCCGGTAACTTATGGAACCGAATGTCGTTCGTTTTACCATACCTCGTGTTGCACTCTCTCACAAGACACACGGTCAGCATGGCGATTGCTGAAGCGCGCACACAACAGACGCCAACGACGCCAAGCACACACAACAACCTAAACTTGATAAAAACAAAACAGCGCAAAGACAAGGACGAAGTAGAAGAAACAACAGGACACAGCGCAGTGCTGTGTCCTGTGGTTTCTTCTACTTCGTCTTTGTCTCTGCGCTGTTTTGTTTTTATCATGTCTACTTACCAACTAGCCCCAAACGTTTTCGTTAATAAACCTAAACTTGCCGCGCACAGAAAATGCGCAGCGGCAAGCAGACGACAGGGCGACAGGAGCGGGGAGGAGCCGACGTTGCTATGGTTCCCGGGCGACGGAAGTCTCGAATGTGTTTGAAAACGAAACTTACCTGCAATCACGTGATATAGAACTTCCGAATTAATTTTAGAACGGCAGTAACTTCCTCACTATTTTCATAACTTACTTTTTATTATTGGAACACAATATAAGGTACAGTAGATCCTCAACTTTACACAGGTCTTATTGTGACGTTTTGTTGCTCCAGCTGGGCAACGATGTCGCATAGTCGTTCCAGGCACCCCAAGAAACACTATTTTCAAACACTGTTCATAAAATGTGGACGGGATATTTGGGATTTGGGATCTTTGAGGCCTCATCAATTTTATAAAATTAAGACTGTTCATATCTATTTTCTTTGCACAACCCCTTTAAGTTTTTCCAGTAAAAATGACCTCAACATTTATACCCATATTTCTTTGTGCATCTTTTCAATGGTCTCTGTCTTGACCTGATATTCTTGTATGCATAAGAAAAGCATCTCTTTGCTAGAGCCTGCCTAATCAAAGCAAGAAGCGGTGCCGTGCACGTGCATAATTGTTTCTTTGCAATTATCGTAGCATACCGTGCATCCGCCCATTCCACATTAAACGCCCATTCCAAAATTTCTAAGATCTGAGGAAGTGTGCACAGTAGATTGATATGTAAAATTGATGACCGGACAAGCGCCCATCCCCTATTTTTTCGCAATTATCTCGAAATTTCGAGTGGGCGCTTGTCCGGTATTTTACGGGAGACCTGCTGCTGTTTTATCCAAGTGTCCCGGCCCGCACTCCGGGAACTCTAAAAACACAGTTCCGCTGCTTCCGTCTTCTGGCTGCTCTCTCTTTGGATTGCCTTCCCGTGCTGTTGACGCTTTCATAGTTTTCTTTTTGCTCATCGTCCTCCCTGTGCAACTTATGCCAAGTTTAACTTGGGCTCTGCCACTGTACAAACCTTGTGCCCCGACAGTTACCATTTTGAGCTAGTGTGCTGAGATTGTTGTAGGACTTTTGGCTTTGGCTTTGGGTAGGTGTATGCCAGCTCTGGATGTTATTGCTAAGCACACTCTAATGCTATGCTATGTCTGCCACTGCTTTTCTTTTAGGGCCACACCAGGAGGAGGCTGCTTCCCTAGCTCCGCCAGCTCCAGCAGTGTCTGTGCCAGCGGTAGTACTGCACGAGCCAGCGGTAATATTGCACAAGCCTTTGCCACCTGGTAAGCATTTATCTTGTGCGATGCATCAAAAGCAGTGCTTCTTAACACGACAGCGTTAAGGAGCTCGCGTCCCAGAAAAGCCGACGTCGGCTGCGTGATGCGAAAATCCTGATTGATCGATAGGGTCATGGCATCACAGCCACATGACCTCGTGCGGGAAGTTCAAACAATGCAAAAATCAATTTGTTACTTTTTTTGCATTAACTGAGCCTGATAGCAACCACTTCACATGCTCCTGAAGGGACCAGACTGATGGGATTGCGAGTGCCATTACAGTGCAGTCCCGAGCATTCAAATTCAAGGGGAACCAAAGCTTTAGTAATGCAGAGTTTGAACTGAAGGTAATCTCATTTAGCAAGGTGCCAATGCTCTTTGCTATGTGAGGAAGGATGTTCTGTTGCAAAAATAGAACTGATTTGTTTTGATCAGATTTTAAATGCAAGGTAACGACATTGGAGACTTGTAGGCCTTCCTGCACATTGCAGCCATGCAGTGCTGAGAAAATTTCAGGTCGCAAAAACTGTACAAATAAGTTAGCATATGAATAATAGAGCAGTCTGAAAAGTGCACAGATTACAAATATGAACTTTACTGCAGACAAACTGACTTAAAAGGTAGCTGAGAGTGCCTTGCCTAATATTGCGCTTTAATGGCACATCTACTTTTATTTGCACGAGCATCACTGGCAACGGTTGTAGGGGCGGCTGGCACGGTCACCGTCAAGGTCTGACTCGCTTATTTGCTGCGCAAGTTTTCAGATCAAGTGAATGCTCTGCTCTCTTCAGGAACATAGACAGTGGCTCTAGTTTGTAAGTAGCTTGCTGCTTGTGACAGACGACTAAAGCATTCTCTGCCTGCGCAAGGAAATACACTGAGGGTGCTGTCACGTAGCTCCCAATTTGCATTGGATTGGCTCAGCTATTCATAGCTTCTGCTATGTGTAGCTTAGAAGGAAAAAAAATGCAGGAGAGCTTAGGCAGGATTTCGTCTATCATGTTTCATATAAGAAAGGAGTCTGAATCTTGTTTCATGGGCATTCAAAAGGCAGTGAACAAAATTGCTTTGCTTTTTATTGAATTGGACAAGTGACTTTTGAAGTGTGCCGGTGGGTGAGAGGACGACGAATTGCTCTAAAATACCGAACATCCGCTTATTCCACAATAAGCGCCCACTCCACAATTTTTTAACATTCTGGAAAATATGCCGAGGGCCCATTTTTGCATATTGATGTCCTAAGGACCACCGATCCCCCAGAGCATCATTGAAAACCTCCAAATTGCCTGCTTTGATAAAGATATAACATGGGTGAAGCAGTTTAAGGCATCCTGAAAAACCACCTAACTTGGATGTGAATCTCGTTGCCACAATCTTTTTCGGCCGTCGCAATCCTGGTAAAGGGAGCTGCGTCACCTTAGCTCTTCCCTTATGTGGAGGCATTGTCATGACGATTCGCGTGATTTGTCGCTTTGGCTGCTCAAAGCGGGGCTGCGTTACGCGCAGATCATAGTCAGTAACACATCAGAACTACTTTTTCACGCCTAAGTTAGGAGGCTTTTCAGGACGCCGTAAAAGGGTGTACATGCGTTACGTCTTTCAAAAAATAGGTGATTAGGGGGTTTTCGATGATGCCCAACAACATTCTAATAGAAACCTTTTTCTTTAAATTATAAAAAGTTCATGAGTGAATTTGAGGTAAATACCCGGTTTTTAGCTGCTTTCTCGAACATGTTTACAAACAAACCGGAGCACCCCTAGAAGACGCCACTGGCGCCGCGCATGCGCAGTGGACGGTGGGCAAAAAGCCCACCGTCGCCCATAAACAAACCATTGAATTGCGTTGTTTTCGGCGTCGGTGGGAGCCCCCCTTGCTCTTTTTTGCGTTGGAATTGTCGATTCTACGTCCTCCTAACAATGTCTGACTACTTGAGCGGCTTCAGCAAAATCAACGAGGCAAAACTTTGCGTGAATAATGTTACTTGCGGCGATTCATTTCACGTGGACGCCGCAGAATGGGCGCTACAGCCCGACTCGCACGATAAGATTCTGCTCGCTATCTTCAGTCGCGACGTCGCTCGGACTGCAAAAGTGTGGACCGCAGCTGATATGGTGGACGTAGATACTGAAAACTGCAAGTAGAATCTGGCATTACAAATCGGCGATGGCCACTGGTAACAATGATCAACATCTTCTTGTATCTACTGTTTACACTTAGCCTACTTACCCCAACGAACCTTCAAATGTGTTTTGAGGCCTGCACTTAGTTCTTATCGCAATTACCGGGTCAACGTTTGGTTTACGCGCCGCTGTCGTTTGAACGAGCTGACGACAAAAAGCAGACAAGTTCTAAAGAGCAGACGAAAGTTCGAACGATCAGGCGGCCGTATGAATTTGAAAATGCACTGAACCCGCGGGTGGCCCTGACAACTTGGCGGTTTTCTCTCGTTCATGTTGGAACAAAACAAATACATCTGGCGACCACAAAGTGTTGCCCGCACAAGCAATCGTAGTTCGACAGCGTCTCGCTTACCCTTTTCACTGCTACTCTCCACGCACTCAGACGAACGGAGCGGGCAGAAACACATGAAAACTGATCTTCAAACCTTTCCAGACTCTTTTGGTACAGCCCCCGTCGCAGCATTTTGACGAGAACGCAGGTTTTTCGTGTGGTTTCTCCGAAACGAACACCAGAATGCATGTCTCGCACGGCGACTTCTGCCCACCGCCCCAGACCAAAAATGGGCCCGACGCGCCACCACTGCGGCGTGACGTAGGAAAGTTGAGTTCGTGTATAACAACGCAAACTGCAATTACGTAACTTTCATGTTTTTTTTAGAAAAATCTCTAGTTCAACAAAAAACACACTGTATATTTAGTGAATGCAATGTCAGTGTGAAGAACTGCTTTCTATTTGTCTCTCACCAATGATGTTTATGTTAACAGTGCCCGAACAAAGGCTGGAAAATGTCCATCCGGTGGTGGAACCGAAGCTGTTTGAAGTGATTGATGGCCAGGTAAGTTGTCATGATATTTTGTGTACAAGATTTGCAATTCTACAGTTTTTAAGGAGGTTCTGGAAGATGAACCGAAAATGAGAAGTGAGCTTGTGCATGTGTTGTGTTTTGCAGGTGCACCTTAGCCCAGGTGTCTCCATACCGGAGCCAAAATTCAACTTGGCGCTATTGGCCAAAACTGACTCAAAATGTGTTATTGGAGTGTCCCGGTCCCTCTGGACAGATGATGAACTGGCGTCAAGAAGCGTCACCGGAACAGCTTGTCGGAACAAGCCAGGCTCCAAGGCCAAAAAAGAAGCGACGCCTGCGAAGATGGAGGCACTGAGGAGTGAGTGGCCATAAGACTAAATGAGAGTGATGACAGTGGGTTGAATCTCAATCCTGATTCCTTGGCTCTCATCAGCTAGATTAAATAATTGTATTTGGGGTGTGTTCAGATAAGTTTAAGCATGTGTCCCCAGTTAGCATTTTTGTTTTTCTTCATATTTTTATCTGCTACTCCCCAATATATAGAAAAAACAATATCATAAATGTTTTCTAAAAAAGAAACTTGACTGCTTCCATACAGCAACACCGTATTTTCAGGGCTTTGTTGGTTCTGTCACGTTTAACTGCATGTCAAAGCAAATTAAAAAAAACAATAACTGATTATTTTTCAAGAAGCAGTAAATTATAGTTACTGTATTCTTGAATGTTTACAGAATTCTAAAAATTATATATCACAGATAAAAAATTAACAAATTTGACTGCTCTAACATTTTTGTGACTCATTATGTCTTAAGGATATTAAACTGAGATCTTTTTCATATGTCCTTCACAAAAGTGTCGCTTATCAAAAAATAAATTGATGGTCTAGTTTATAATTCAAAATATTCACAGCGCTTCAAAATATCCAAAATTAAAAAGTTTCACAACTTCAACGTAAAAAAAAAAATTAAATTTGGAGGAATGACACTCATCTACACCTTCGTAATATTTCATTCAAAACATGTTGCATCATTTTGTCTCCTTCAAAAGTACAACGTTGTGAAATGTACCTCCCACGTGGACATTTTTGCTTAAGGCCATGGTTGAATGGCTGCCTTCCAATTTTTTTGTTCAGAACTTCACACAATGTCTTTTTGCTGGTGCACAAGTCCGAATGATACATTTGGACCGCTCTAAATGCATGTATGAAGTGAACGTAGCTCACTCAGGACAGCAGTTCGAAGCATAAAAGATGCAAACTGTGAGGAGCCTGCCCTTCGTGCTTAATTGTTGCCTAGGCCACTGCAAGGTCGCGTGAGCTGTAACATGACCCTCTGCATGAGATACTATGCTCTGTAGAAAGAAAACATGTATAAACAAGAAGCTCCCAACCCTAGACACACAAAAGGAAAAAAAAACTCTTTCAGATGTTGTTCACCTAAGTAAACTGACGGTGCTGGGAGAGCCTGGCTGGTAGGGTTTTTATGCATTTTTACATGAATGAATAAATAAATATTGGCACTCGATGCTCAAGGAAAATGCCCCTGATCGGCAAATAAGAAAGGACTCGGTAACATAGCTGACGATAATCGCCACCGAGATAAGTGGTGTAGATTATGAATGCGGCGGAGTTGACAAGTCAAGGAAGGGGGGCAGGGGGGGTATAGCTTTGTGCACTTTAGTGTTTCATTACACTGGAGGAAGGGATAACATACAGGACAGACAGACAAAACTTACAACAAGCAACAACATTTATTTCTCCGTGAGTTTGTATTGTATGTATGTGACATTAAGGGGAGGTGGAAAGGGTGAAGGTAGAAGCCATGGCAGAGAGCGTCACCTCTTGAACAACGTCACAGTTTGGGGAATGGGAGAGAAGCTGCTACGGAAGGCAGTTAATCTCTTTCCTAGGTGGGCTTATCAAGGGGAAACTGAATTTGTCCTTGGAATGATGCATGCTCAACGCCTCCATAATCTCTCTGCATATGTGGAGGTGTGACCGCCGATCCTACTGGTCGACGAATAGTCAACCGAGCAACAACCGCAATTCAACTTAGGTTTAGCGGTCAAGTGTTAACTGATCTTAGAGTCAGCAGCGGTTCCCTTCCATACTTTATGTTATCCCTTCCTGAAAGGTATATACATTACCAATATGCTTGTTTCATTCCTTAACGTGTAGCAAGCTATGCCTTTAGTTTGGAATTGGAGCTGCGGTCTCCCCATGTCTGCGTCCAGATTTATTTATTCATTTTTGCATAAAACCCTACCAGCCCAGCTCTTCCGCCTCCGTCAGTTTACTTAGACAAACAGCATCTGAAAGTGAGCTTTTTTTTTTTTGCATGTCTGGGGTTGCGAATTTCTTGGTTATGTGTGTTGTTTTCTTTCTATCGAGCCAAGTATCTCGTTCGGGGGGTTGTGTTTCAGTTTGCGCGACCGTGCAGTAGCCCATATGCAACAATTAAGCACAAAGAGCGGGCTCCTCACAGTTTGCATCTTTGATGCTTCAAACTGCTGTCCTGAGCTATGTGCACCTCATAAATGTATTTAGAGTGGTCCAGATGTATAATTCGGACTTGTGCATCAGTGAAAAAACAGGACATTGTGAGAAGTTCTAAACAAAAAAATTGGAAGGCAGCTACTGCGGCCATGGCCTTGGGCAAAAATGTCTACGGGGAGGTACATTTCAAAGCGTTTTACTTTTGACAGAGACAAAAGGATGCAACATGTTTTTAATGGAACATTACGAGAGCGTAAAGAGGGTGATTCCTCCAAAATTTTAAAAAGATTGAAGATGTTTTTTTTAATTGCACATTAAAGTTGCGAAACTTCTCAATTTCTGATGTGTTTGAAACGCTGTAAATATTTTACAGCGAAGCTGTTAAACGGGGACCAGCAGAAATATTCTTCCGCCTGGCGGAAAGTCCTTCTCGCCCTCTTTCTTTCCCTTTCTCTCTTCTATTGTAGCACGGCGAGGCGAGGGGAAAGGTCCCCTCTTGTGCCGGCTTCTTCTGAGAGGATAAGCTGAGAAAATCCCCTTTCTGAGCGACGGGTGATGGGTGCAGCAGCAGCGACCTCGTGACATACAGGTATCTTCAGCTCCTATCGCGTAATCTGCCCTATTTTTTGGTGCTCGCCAAGCCTAGCCCCTCGGGTGTAGGTTTTACGGAGATGCAAGGCTGCGCCCTCGCAGTCACTGAATTTGAGCTGTAGAAGTTCTTTGGTTTAGCCCGTGGCAAAGTAAACGCATACTTGGGAGCTGCGATGCATCCCCGCACCTATTGAAGGAACGTTCCATAGATATTCTCGGTTGATCCAGGAGCTCAAAACAGATGCGCTAGATGTGGCGACTTGAATGTGTAAGGATGACTTACATCTTTACAAAACATTCCATCTTAAAAAAAACGGCTTATCACGGTCAAACCTGCCTCAAATTGGAATCGATGGAAAAGAAAACGATGTACCAGGCGTGGGCATCTTGCAGAAGGTCTCTGTTTTCTAGCAGCGAGCACAAATTATTGTGTGCGTAACTCACACTATATGATGGCCAACAAATGTGTACGACATTTATATTGACTCATCCAAACAACCGCATGAGGTGAGAAGGCAGCAATGGTGTGTGTCGATACTAAAAACTTTTAGTGGATCGTCTTTAGCTCTTGGATAACCGTACCCTGCAACAATATATAAGCTATAACCTTTCTGTGAGCATTCTTTATCGAGTGCGGCTATTGAAGCGTGTCGTGTTATAGTTCAACGTTACTTAAATCGGTGCTGTACCACATGCTGCCACTTTAAAGTATTTTTGAAGCATTAAAAATAAGAAAAAATGAATCAAATGTAGCAGATTTTTTTTAACATGAAACACGTTTGTAATTTGTCATTGCAAAGACATTTTAGGTATACTGCCACACAGTTAGCACGGACAAACTAGCGCCAGTCTTTCTAATTTTGTTTTCTCAGAAGTGAATGATGTTTAGAAAACTGTTAACGCAACTATCCAGCCTAAGTGGCAGAGCTCAGTGCTAGACAATACATGTTGCAGGGGCAGAAATAGTAAAAAGCGCCGATGTCGCGTTCGGGCTAACAGTGCCACGTAATGCACGCATACCGCTACAAGATCAGCGCAAGCATAATATGGCAATGGAAGTATTACACATTTTGTTTTAATGGATGAAAAGTTTCAAGAAATTGTCGCAGCGCCTTGATTATCACAGCTGACAAGTCACACTTATTAACGGCTTTGGCTTGCTTTATCAAGTCGTCAAAAGCAGTCATCTCCGTGGTTTCAGAAAAAGCGTGGTTCAGGCTTGGTCGGAGATTGCTACGGTTACGCTCGTATGCTTTTTCAGTTCTATCTCGCATATATATGCTTCTTGCTCAAATAAACGGGCATCTGACTTTTCGCTCATCTTGGCCTTTAGCACGACTGTTAACAAGTTCTGAAACAGACAAAGCAAAAGTAATTTAATTAACTCAGGATTAAGGTTCTGCAAAATATTTACAAAGTTCGAGTTTCCCTAAAGTCGTCTTTTGTATTCCATTCCCCCTCCCCTCACCAACACTTCCTTTCCTCCAAATAAACAACGTAGATTATTTTATGAACCACCAGTAATAGAGCGTACTCGCAAAATGTCTATTTGGCGTATGAAAGGCTTTGTTTAAATGATCGAGCAATGGACTGGTCTTATTAAGGCCCGTTCACACTCTTACGACCGCTTACGACCTCTTAAACCTGGGTTCCTTAAAACTTCTTAAACCAGAGAACGCACTGGCGCCATCTATTGGAAAGCATTGTAAAGTCGGCGGTCCGGCATATTTTTTTTTATTTCTCGCGCATTATCCTTTTTTTCTTGGCTCGAAAAACTTTTGTAAATGTTATAAACGAGCCTTTCTATGGGTATTACACACATTTGACCTCGGAAATCCCGCAAAACCCTCGCTCTTGTGAAATGCAGTTCCAGGGTCACCGCATAGATGGCGCCACAATGCCAGTTTGTTCCCTCATTCTAAAAACATTTAAGAAATTTTAAGAGATCTCGTCTATCTCAGTCGTACTCGGTCGCAAGAGTGTGAACGGGCCTTTACTGTGCGTGACACAGCTAGCACAAACACAATATTGACATTTTTACGCAAGGGCCATGCAGAATTCAGTGTATAAGAACAAATTGATGCCTCGTAAGTTGGTGCCCAATGGAAGAACTCTTTACCGAATTGCTTGTATAAAAATAACAACTTTTCAACCATAAAAACAAAACAAAATAACACCATTTGTTTTTTGGGGGGGGGGGGGGGCGGGGGGCACTTAATTTACTGATTCACTCCGTTAGCGTTGATTGTGCAGCGGTATGCATACATTACGCGACAATGTTAGCGCAAACACGACATCGGCGCTTTTTGCTACTTTCCCCAGCAATGTATTGGCTTGCACTAAAACCTACAGCTTAGGTTGGATACTCGCATTAACAGTTTCCTAAACATCAATCACTTCTAAAAAAAAAAGAAATGGGAAACACCGGCGATAGTTTGTTGTGCTAACTTCGTGGCGTAGGGCAGCGGCATAGACCTTCCATGGTGAGATCCAGAGGGGGGGGGGGGGGGCAGGCTGAGAAGTTCTCCGGGGGGGCAAGGAGGGGGGGGGGGTGCTTCGTGCTAGCTTCTCGCCAGAACTGGGGATTGAAGCGAGCAAAAGCACGCTGGGATTTCATTTCCCATGTATTTTGTCAATAAAGGCAACGCGGGCGTTATTTTGTTTACATGCCACTACTGGAAGCTCGTTACATGGCGCGTAAACAGCATGTCGGTAAAGATCATGGCCCGGGCCTGGGGGGGGGGGGGGGGGTTCTGCCCCCTCTGGATCTCACCATGGGGGGGCACGAGCCCTAAAGCCCCCCCATAGTCTACGCCTATGGCGTAGGGTACCTATAGGTTTTTTTTACAATGTTAAATACAATTCTGTGTCGCGTTAAAAAAAATTTTTGCTTTTGCTTTAGTTTCTTTGGGACACCACAAATACTTCTAAGTGGCGGCGTGTGCTATGGTACCAATACAAGCAACGTTGAACCATAACACGACACGCTAGACTCGCCAAAAACAGGTTTAATATTGTCTTTTCCGCTCCATAGCTGCACTCGATAAAGAATGTAAACAAGCGAGTCTAGCTTACAATTCGTTGTGGGGTACAGACCGTACGGTTATCGAAGCGGCTAAACGCGACCCACTAAAACTTTCTAATATTGACATCCACCCTTGATGCCCTCTCACCTCAGGTGGTTGTTGGGAATCTGTGAACATGAATTTCATACATTTTGCTGGCCATCATGTTGTGCGAGTTAGGCACACAACAGGGCATTTTAGTAAATCGTTTTCAAAGGCCCGCTGCCACTTCAGGGGCGCGCTTCAGAGAATGCATCCAAGTGGCAGCGCAAGCTCCTGCTAAATATAGCGTGGCATGAGAAAATAGTCTGCTAAAGTTCTCCATAATTTATGCTCGCTGCTAGAAAACAGATATCTACAAAATGCTTGCGCCTGGTACATCGTTTTCTTTTCCATCGATCCCAATTTGAGGCAGGTTTGAGCGTGATAAGCCATCTTTTTAAGATGGAATGTTTTGTGAAGATGCAAGTCATCCTTACATATTCAAGTCACCACATTTCGCGCATGTGTTTTGAGCTCCTTAATCAACCGAGAGTATCTATGAAACGTTCCTTCAGTGGGTGCGGGGATGCATCGCAGCTCCCAAGTATGCGTTTATTTTGCCACGGGCTAAACCAAAGAACTTCGACAGCTTAAATTTGGTGACTGCGAGTGCGCAGCCTTGCAGCTCCGTAAAACCTACACCCGAGGGGCTAGGCTTGGCAAGTGCCAAAAAATAGGGCAGATTATGCGATAGGACCTGAAGATACCTGTAAGTCACGAGGTCGCTGCTGCCGCACCCATCACCCGTCGCTCAGAAAGGGGATTTTCTCGACTTATCCTCTCATTAGAAGCCGGCGCAAAGGGGGACCTTTCCCCTCGCCTCGTTGTGCTACAATACAAGATAGAAAGGGAAAGAAATAGGGCGAGGAGGACTTTCCCCCAGGCGGAAGAAAATTTATGCTGGTCCCCCTTTAAGGGCTAGTTTTCCCAGGATTGTGTTCGGTACGAAACAAATATGTCTACACAAAACTCCAGAGTAAGAAGTGTTTGTCGGTTGTCTGCTTGCTGCGGTCGCTCATAGATCGTGGCAACATTTCTTCGGAGGAAGAAGAGCAGGAGGGGAACGAGCAGCGATGTGCGCAGCAGTGCGAATGGTTCCGCAACCGCCGCGAGGCTCCTATTGCCTAAAGTTCCACTGCATCAAGCGCTTCAGAGTCTCTCGCGAAAGAGCAGATCGGTCGCCTGGAAAGCCACCGCCGAGAACAGAAGCTATAGCTCCACTGCTCCTCCTTCTGCACCAGAGTGGAAAGGCTTCAAGTTTTTAATTATAAACTAGACCAGCAATTTATTTTTCGATAAGAGACGCTTTTATGAAGGACATATAAAAAAAAGTTTGTTTACAACCTTTAATGCATAACGAGATTACGAGCCCCAAAAATGGGGCAGAAATGTTAAAGCAGCCAAATTTGTGAAGTGCTTATGTGCGATATATGATTTTTACGATTCTGTGAACATTCAAGAATATAGTAACTATAATGTACTGCTTCTTTAAAAATATTCAGTTTTTTTTTTTGCCATCTTGATCATTTTTTTTCTTTTGAGAACACATTTGTGATTTCGTTACCTGCATATATTAGGGAGTATTTAAAGATATGAAGAAAAGCAAAATGCGAACTGGACTCGCATGTTCGATGAGCTAATTCTCATTAGGTTTGTAACAGGAAAGTTGCGTCACATATTTAAGCTGAAACCATAATATGGTTTCAGCTTAAATATTGCTGTATAATAACTCGTGTATTCTGTCCTGCATTAATGAAGAAAGCACTGACAGTTCAAACTTAAATTTTGTTTTTATTTTCCCGGATGCCTTAAAATGGTGGATGGACATCACCCTAAACAAGTGAAGCTTGGAAATTAATTACAAAGAAAAACAAATATTCTCGAAATCCAAATTTGAATTTCCCGCTTGCGGCTGGGCATTGCCCTTTTTGTTTTGTGGCTGTATTGATTGCTGTTGCTGGCATGTATGCAAACTGCTGATGCAAAAGTTCATTGGTAAGAGATTGTAATTCTGCTTTTACACGGAAAAAAATATTTTATGCTTGAATCTAAGAAATTCCTCGTTATACCATTAACCTCTTTAAACAGCCTCGCAGGAAGCAAGTTTATCACGTCTGCGGTATCAGTCCCCTTGTGGTGTAAGTTTGTAGCCGCGGTGCCTGAGTATTTTCCACTTTTATTATAAAATTACGCAGTTTTATCCCGACTGATGGCCAGCCTCATATATTTAGTGTTCATGTTATCAGTTTGGGTGGGCATTTGTCAGGATATTGTAGTAGATATGAAGTGTCTTTAGTCCTAATGAGTTGTGTTTTTGGTTTTCTTGCTTCATTTCAAGGAAATGATTTGTTGTAGAGGACTAATCTACTTGTTTCCCTTGTAGATGTGCTGGGGAGGTACGTCTCACTGCATCCAAGGGCCAATGAGGTGGACGTCGTGAGGGTCGCTGCCTTAAATGATTTAATGACGAACTACCTGACAGACTGTGGCCGCAGGGCCAAAAAGCGGTTAAACCTGCTGGCTGCGAGGGAGGCCATGTCTGCAAAGGAGGCCACGTCTGCGGAGGAGGCCACGTCTGCATGAATCTTTTTTTTTTTAACCTGGAATTTGTGAGATGTCTTTTTTTTACTTTTGTTTAGCAGAAATAAAAACCTAAACTGGATTAATGAAACTTTACATGAAAGTTTAATGCGGCAAACTTGTGCCGATAAAAAGAAAAGGAAAAAGACACCATACATGATTTGATAGCGACGGATAGGGGACTGCCTTCAAGCAGCCACAAGAATCTGCTTATGAGTGTGTGTGTATATATATACATGCCGTCTGGAAAGTTCGCCCTATCGAACTTTCCGAGTTTGAAGAAACAACAAGATTGTCGATCCATCTGGAACATCCAGTCACGCAAAGAAGAAAGATAAAAAGAACTAAACGCTGGCAGAATTTGAACCCTGGCCAGCGGCATAGGAGTGAAGCGCGCTGCATGCCGACTTGTGAATGTCTTCTTTGCTTTTTAAAGTTGACCAAAGTATTGAGATGACTGCTTCACTGCCATCATAGGCAGCACTATGTTGCATTTTATGGGATTTTCGATCTTTAAATATCCTATGCATGGACTGCTATGTTTGGTTGTGCAAATTGTTTCACTGATAGCAATCGACCCCTTGAAGTGGAAATTTCGGGTCTATATATGGACCAACCGATTTCAGGTTACCGAACCGTCCAGCATCTAGTAAACATCCACCAACCATGGTTCACAGGCTTCCTCTTAAGTGCCTTCCGTTGACGTCCGAAAAAAGAAAAAAAAAACGTAAATTCCGGCCAATCTGGTGATCTTCCGGTAAATTCTGGCAAATTTACTGGAAGTGAAAAGAGTCCCATAATCCAGTAAAATAGATTTTTACTGGAAATAATCTAGTAAGAACCCGGTGAAATTCTGGTACAAATCTGGTAACATTCAGGTAAAAAACCGGCAACATTCCTGTAAACAAACCGGTAACAATCCAGTAAAAATCCGATGACATTCCGGTAAACTACAGCTTTACTGGAAGTGAAAACAGTCCCATAATCCAGTAAAATAGACTTTTACTGGAAATGACATTCCGGTAAAAAATATTTTTTCAATAGGGAGCATCTTCCCTCTTTCCATCTCAATCTGGCAGCAATATTTGTGGCAGTGCACCGCCAAGTGGCCTGATCGTTTTTATTTGGTTGAAGAGATAATGGCCTTCCAGCAAAGCGAGCACCATCAGGCAACTCGGTGGTGCACTGCCACAAATGTTGCTGTAGCCAGAGTTTGAGAAAAGAAATTTCTATGCAATAGGAAAAAGAAACTGAATATAGATTTTTGAGGATTTTAGCATCATGGTTGCCAGAAAAATAAAATGTTTCAGTGTACTGTTATTACACTTAACACAAAATGAACTCGAGTGCATTGCGTCCCCAAGTGAGTGCAAGGTATTTAGTGAACGAAAAGGGGACAAAGTAATTATCGAATTCATTGCATTAAAGCTAGGGAAGGGAAAGGGAAAGCGAGCTGGCAAACATTGGGCCCATATATATATATATATATTTCTGTGTGTTTGTTGTGTGTGCGTATGTGCGTGTGTGTAACGGTGTTATTTACAAATTAAGAACAGCCGCCAGGCTGAGCGGACGCACCTAAATTTGGCTCCTGTTGAAGTGAGAGAACACGACACAATACGCTACCGCACCCCGCAGCGTGCGGTGAAGCTAAAACAGCTACTGGGCAACGGCTACAGAATCATCATGAAACCTATTTAAGGCGTGAACTTTACGAAATGGTGCAACATTCCCATCGCCCGCGGCCTGAATCAAGCCAGTAAGTTTGCCACCGACTCCATGCGCAGACATCTGATCTTCAGGGTGGAACTTGACACAACCACAATCAGGACTTCATACATCGTACTCAAAACACACTGTAAACGAAATTATACCCAGATCAAAGTGAATCGCTTCTCCTCTAGCGCAATCCCAAATAGAAAACATATATAGTCTACCGTTGAATGGAATTCAGTTTACTCCCGTGCAGAACGGAGTTTTCCGAGGGAGTACAAGGGAGTCTACAAACAAACCCCGTTCAGTTCCAGAGTTTTTACGCGGACCCACAAGATTATTATTGTTGTGGATCGTGAGCTAAGCTAGAAGGAACAAGTAAAAAAGTCGAGAGGAGCACGATAATATAAAACGATTACCAGTCCAACGTACGCGCCTATGTTCCTTCGTCGACGCATTTTGTTTTCGAAACCCGTCGAGAGGACATGAACCGTCAACGCAGGTCCCATGGCGTTCTCCTCATCGCAGTGACCCACACACTCTCGCTGATAGACACTCTGCTTCGGAACCCGGTATCGCCAGAGATTGATTTGCGGATCCAACTCGATTACCTGGTCCAAAAGTAAACCAGCTTGGTTGACCTCGATCGTGACATCCTGGCTTCGACCACAGATCACAACGTCTGCAGTTGCGTCTCGTATTTCATTTCTAATATCCTGTGTCACAAATATGTGGTCCAGTGCTCTGGCATAAAATTTATCTTCTTGCACTGGTTGCTTCGCGGGAAGGCGTGACAGTGCGTTGGCTAGCTGCTGTTCTTTTCCAGGTATAAGCTTCACTTCTAATGTGCATCTTTGGATTGTCATCTTCATTCGCTGCCGGCTCAGCGGACACAGACGCAACGGTTTCGTAAAAATAGCTTGCAACGAGTTGTGATCTGAATCTGCTGTTACGTTTGGTCGTCCGAGAATGTACCGTACATTCCAGATTATGGTCCGTCGACTATACGTGCTTAAAACTTGAAATTGTACCCGATGCAGACAAACTACACGTGCGTACTATTCCAGGATTGTTTCTTTCTATATCGCTCACTGTGACACGATGTGAAGCATTTTATGAAAAACAATGGACATTAATGCTGATTTATGTCTGATGCAAGCTTCTTTGTGAGCCAATGTAGCAGGCATTTGTCAAGGTAAGCTATGCACAAGTTTTACGTTCAAGACATGCACTAAGAAAGGACAGTGCATGGAGGGTGGACTATGCACACGGTGGGGAGAATCTGAGCAAAAGCTTTTATTTTTTACATCGAATTCGCCCCTGCCGACTATGCACCGGGAGTGGATTATAATCCGGAAAATACGGCATTGTTGAAACTTGGTGCATCCACAAACGATACGCAGCATACTTTTCTTGATTTACGCATAGTTTATATGTGCTGCTATTAAAGAACTCGACAAATAGAAAAGTGGTCTTGGATGTTGGGTGATAACGGCCCGACTCCGTATTGGCTTGCGTCGACTGACAACGTAATTCGTTCTTCTGCAATGTAGTAAGACAGCACTGGTGCCTTCGTGGAAGCGTCAAACATGTTCTTTGAAATATATTTCTCGATGTTCCGTCTTTACCCATGCGACTTCTTTCTTCAGAAGTTCTCGTAGTGAAGGCGCTCGCCCGGAAAGTCGTGATATCAAGCTCGACAAGAAGGTGATCATTCCAAAAAAATGTTTGAGGTACTCAGCGATATTTTGGTTAGTTTACTTTGGGGGTCGTCACCTAATCGACGCCCGATCGGGTCGTGCCTCGCTCGCTTTCCAAGAAGTCACCCAACGCAGCGCATAAGTCGAAACAGTTTATTGGGCTCACGTCGCTCGTTGTCGCTCGTCGTCGTCGTCCCGCTGACCTCCGTGGCCTGTCCCCCACAAGTCGGCAGCCAGAGAGACCCCCCTTTGTCTCGCTTGCCCTTTTAACACCTTCCCCAGCCCTGTCCCTCCGACCGTCCAATCGGGAACCTTGCCGCGAGCCGACCCTCCGACGTCAGCGCTGGGTGACGGGTCGCTTGCCCCGTCCCTCCCGGAGGGCTCCCGACATTCCCCGACAGGACGAGGCGAGAAACGGGGAGGTCACAGAGGAAAGGGGGGACGGGGAGAGGGTATCGACAACTTCTAGTATGGCTTTCATCCTCTTTTGCTCAACAGCTACTCCATCACCATTTAGAACTTGTTCGAGGTAGCGGACTTCTCACTTCGCAAATGGGAACTTCCTACGGTCAGGTCATCGATTCACTTCTCCACTGCGTTGGAGAAAGTGTTGAAGATTTTTGTCGTGTTCTTGACGGATCCTTTCCCATACTAATATGCCGTCCATTACGGCTGCAGTTCCGGTGAGTCCATATAGTTTTTCGTTCATCACCCGCTGAAAACATTCAGGCGCTCTGCTTATTCCGAAGGACATTCGCTTACGTCTGTTTCTCCCATGAGTAGTGATCATGGTGCACAAATTTGAAATCTCGTTCAATCTGAAAGAAACCCGAAGATGAGTCTAGCGCTAAAAACATTTTCGCACCCGCGATTCTGGCGGCGATGTCATTCATTGTCGCCATCGGGTAATGGTCTTTTCTTATGAATTGAATCAAATCAACTGGATCCTTGCAGGTGCACACTTTGACCTTTTTTCAACAGCTACCATAGAACTGGTCCGTTCTTTCGGTTCTTTTACTTTAGTCAGAAGCTTGTGGTTCTCTATTTCCTTCTTTTTTAAGTTCGCACTTTATCTAGTAGTGCTACCGGAACCTTCCTGGCTGGGCGAATGACGCTTTATGAACCTGGCTTCAACTTCATGTTGTACACACATACCTTAACTTTTCTCAGTCCGTGAAAAACGTCTGCGTATAGTCCCGATTGGTTACAAAGATTTGAAGCTACTACATTTGTGTCTTCGCGTTCGCTTGACACTGATATCAGACGGTTGATCATTTACAGAGTTTCAATCATTTTTTCTCGCTACGCCACCGGACCATCTTTCTTCGCCATGAAGAGCCCCTCCTTTGTCGCTCTCAATCTTTTCGACATTGTCAGCGTTGTTCTTATAAATGCTTTCCTCTTCTGGCCAAAAATTATCAATGTATAGTATCAAACTTCTGGTCATTCTTGCTTGATATCAAACACAGCAGTCTCTCTGGGATGACTGATTAATTAGCCCCGGTGTCGAGCTTGCAGCTCGCGTTATTTTTTCCTATTTCGACTGTCTCGCTACACTGGATATCTTTGTTCCCGTAATCTACGGTGAAATGTCACAGGAGATAACGTTCACCGCTGTCGTCCGTATCATTACTCTCTATTTGTACTTTGGAATCAAATTTT